CCTCACCCCCAACCCCCGGCCCCTGCCCCTGCCAGTGCCCCTCACTTCCACCCTGCAGCCCCTGCCAGCCCAGGCTTGCTTACAGTTCTGGAATTGCTGTGCCGTGTATCTGGTGAGTAAGATTCCGACTCCTTCGATCAAGGCCAGTAAAATCCCGCCCATCATGGCTGAGCCCACCATGGCTAACGGGCCACCTGGGACAAAAGACCAGTTAGAAGAGTGGGGCTGTGGAGAAATCCCTGTGGTATTAGACATTGTATTAAGATCTGTCTTTGTTCAGTGTCTTAGAGAATCTCTGGAACATTTCTCCTAGAACTTTGTATTAAGAGATCTTGTAAGATAAACTGTCTTTTGAGCTCTGCCCTTTCCTTGGTTGCCCTGTTGGAATGACTGAGGTGTGACTGGAGAATGAAAGGGGAGCACCTCCAGCAGCAGTCCCAAGAGTGGAGAAGGTCTGGGAGCCAGATCCAAGACAGTACCTGTACAGGGAGCTCATTAAGAGGACTGGACATACAGACCCCTTGGGAGTCCAGCAGCAAGTGCTGCCCTTGGAAGAACTCTCTCTGAAGCAGCATTAGGAAAGGCCAGGTGATGCCTAATTGGCTGCATGAGAGGGATAAATAGGAGGCATCTTGCAGAGGGACCCTGGGACAAGTTTTCCTCTTGTCAACATGGGAGCATCGATCCGGATCGGCAGAAGCCTGGCTCCACCCCTCCCCCATCTAACGCACCTGGCCAGTGCAGTGAAGGGGAGCAACTTTTGGGAACAACAAGACGGAGTGTGCGTGTGAGAGTGCATGAGAGTGATGTGTCCTATGCATCGGATAAGTATGGCTCCATCTATGGATGGTCAATAAATGTGGCGTGTGGCCTTATCTCAGGTGCTTCTTTTAAGCACAACAGGGGCAGAGCAGGGGGCCCTCCCCTGCACTCACTGCGGGAGGCGAGCACAGCTCCTGTGAGGGCCCCACTGGTGATCGAGTTCCAGGGGTCTTCCTTTCCCCGCATCTTCACCAGGCCGCAGTCGATGGTGGAGAAGAGGCCGCCCCAGACTGCAAAGCTACCTGGGGACAGGAAGGAGCAGGGATGAGCTGCACCTCAGCCCCGTACCCCACCTGGCCATGCCTCCCCCCACACCACGGCCCCTCACCTCCAATCTGGGGTGCTCTGATGCGGATGGCGCTGACGCTGCCTTTGAACCGGTGTCGAACGCCCTGGGGGAGAAGAGCAGAGGGGGAAGTGAACAGAGCTGCTGCCCCGCTCCCCCAGAAGTCGGGGCCTGGGGAGAGCTGTCAGGCAATGGAGGGGAGGCTGGGGCCAGGCTGGGCTCACCACTGGGGCATTCCGGAAGCCCTTGATGGCCTGGAAGACCCCCCCGCCGATCATCCCCATGGTGAAGGCACCGCCACAGTCGTCCACAATGCGCCATGGGCTGCCGGAGAAGGGGGGGTTAGCCAGGTTGGGAGACCCTACAACAAACAAACCCTGCAGAAGACCCTACATCAGTGGGGGAGGGGAGAAAGAGGGCACCCCTCCACCCCCCAGTAACAGTTCCACAACAGCCAGACACCCTCGCGCAACCATCCCCTTCCGGGGCGCCCCCCAGCCCCACCACAGCACCAAGCCCACCTGCAGGAAAGCCATGCAAGCCTGAGGGGGGGAGGGGAAGCAGGAATCTGGGGTGGACGAAGGGGGCTGCTGTAGGTAGATCTCTCTATTAATCATCAATCTCTGCACTAGCCATTTTCTCCTTGAAGTTTTTAACTTTGTATCACGTCCGTTTAGCTTTGCACCGAGTCCCTTCACACAGAACCCCTGTGCCTGTCCATCGAGAGCCGGGCTCAGCGCATGGAGTCTTGGTAGAACAGGCCCTACGCAGCGGATGAGGTGGGACTGGATACGGGAAGACCAGCACCTCCGGAGAGGGGATGGGAGCCAGAGCCAAGAACCTGTGAAAGGGCCTGGGAAGCAGGCCCACTGAGAGAAGACTGGACCTGTGGATGCCTTGGGGGTCAGCAGCAGGGGCCTGCTTTTGGGAACCCCCTCTCTGGAGGTGCATGGGGCAGCGCTGAGACACCCCCCGAAGAGTCACCAATCGACGGCATCTTGCAGGGGCCCCTCCTAACTCACCTGGCCAGTGCAGTCAGGGGGAACTATTGGTGACCAGGAGTCAGGGTGTGTGGGTGGGATCTAGCCCATGTCTAGGAGAAGGTGGGTTGCTAGACGTGTATCACCAAGACCTGGCCTTTGCCTCTTCCCCCGGAAAGGACAACTAACCCCCCGAAGAGTCACCAATCGACGGCATCTTGCAGGGGCCCCTCCTAACTCACCTGGCCAGTGCAGTCAGGGGGAACTATTGGTGACCAGGAGTCAGGGTGTGTGGGTGGGATCTAGCCCATGTCTAGGAGAAGGTGGGTTGCTAGACGTGTATCACCAAGACCTGGCCTTTGCCTCTTCCCCCGGAAAGGACAACTAAGCA